TGTAATTTCGTGGGTAAAAATCAATAATGATTCAACTTACGAGAACAGACATATTATGCACTTAAAGTTAAACAAAATGCAGAACGATTACTGATAGGTCCCTTGCCATATTCTCATTGGCTTGTTATGGCCTTGAAACCACCAGTTTTACTAATCAAAACTGCTGGAAATAGACTATCAAATTAGAGTTGACCATGAATCTATCTTGGAAGGACCTATTATGCAATCAATCGATTTCGGTGATAAAAACGGGACACTCATTTGACCTTTTGCGATGTGGGTGGGGGGGTTGAATTCATTTATAATCTTGTGGTAGGTCTTCTGGAAGCAGAATAATGCCAGAAATTTTGCTATTTATTTGAATCAGCTATGATAGCAAAGAATGATTATTGATTTACGAACAGTTGGAAAACTAAATTTTAGGACAACTTTCGGAAATTAAAATACTGATCAATTTCATTATAACACTAAACTGTATTTAAGACTTGAATTACACAAAAAGGTATCAACTGGGCGATAATTTTTCTTAAAATTAACATTTTATTTTTTTGTCAGCATTTCATCCGAAGGCATTTTCTGATTTCCAAAAATGTATTTTGCACCTCTACGGAAGACACGGATCTGCAGAGATAAACTAATTTTCAGAAGTCATGATTCATAAGAAATGCCAAAGAAGCATATGATTGGATAAACCTCCTCATTCACTGGGATTGAACAAGTTTCCGACTTCATACTAAAATAAATCTAAATAAATGAATGCATAGCATGCTTGCCTACTCAGGACATAAAATTAAGAATTTTTTGAAGATTATTTTATTTTATTATGCATTTTAATCAATTCCACTAAAGTTTTAGTGGAATTGAGACTACACCAGTTTCACTCATTTAGTCACTTTCATTATGGCCACAATAACCCTTATAAGTAGCTATAAACTGAACCAGAATTTCATTGAGGATTGATTGAATTCTGAATCTTTTATTTCAACACAATTATTAATAAAATAGAAGTACACTGACGCTGCTGGTAATAAGGAAGTACTTTAGCTGAACTAGCGTGTAAAATAGCTGTTAATATTTTTTCCCTTAACTAAAATTCTTACAAATTATGAAGACCCAAATAGAATAACTATACAATAGATTAACCTGTGGAAAAAATTGTCAGTCGATTTCATATTGTTCTTACAAGTAGCCTGGGGGAACAGGACTAGCCGCTTTCCATTGAAACACAGAGAGGAACGTAATTTCTTTAAGAAAATCTTTATTATTGACTAAATCCTCATGAAAATAGGATTGGTCACCTTTTGTTCAACAGTTGGAGAAGAAGTGCGCAAATAACTCGCCATTAGAAATCAATTTTTTGGTGAAAATGTTCCAAATTTCGATTTTCAAAGAGCTTTGTCCTCATTGACAATAGTTCATGGCTGTATTTCAAAAAGTACTTCCAACTTGAATCTAGAAATGCTTCCAGTTGGAATTTTGAATAAGTTTTTAATACATACTACTTTAATATGGCTGTTTTGTGTAGATCTTTGGAAATGCAAATAGTTAGTTTGTCTGTTCTACACAATTCCTGTTCAATAATTCAGCTTTCGAGTGCCCAAAAAGAATAGATAAAGATCTTTTTTACAGATTTCTACATTTCGAAATGTTAGCAACTAAAAAAAGAATACGCTTTTTCCCGAGAATGTGATAAAAATCTATCATAACATCATGTAATTTTCACATAATCTGATTACCATGACTATTTTAAAGTCCTGCGTGCAAGTAAATTAGGCGAGGAAGCAAAAATACTTACTTGGGGATTTCATTTAGCTCCGCCCAACACATGTCAACAAATTGTCGTACGGCAGAAATGAACTTATTGGCATAACAAGAAATTTGACACAGCAGATCTCGTCGCCCGAAGATGTACTTTGAAAGTGGGGGCAAATTCACTTATGGTCAATCGCGCTAATTTCCCCCCACTTCACTCCGCCC